CTGAGTCAACCCTGAGCCGGTGAGATTTGAACCGCTGACCTGCTGATCTAGCAGTAGCCTGCAGTGCTGCATTTAACCACTGCGCCACCTTGGCTCTTTACATTGGTAATGTAAACCAATAGTGGAGAATTAATTCCAACCTGCTTACAAAAATGCAGAATGTCTTCCACTTAAAAACAACATGCATGATCCTAGCCACATATGTTTACTGACCACTGTGATATAATTTGGTAAGAATTATGTTACTTACTGTATGCTCATACAATCAATTAATATGTAAATTATACATCTACGGTTAAAAATGTTATGAAAATTTAAAGAGACATATTTTAAAAAGATCACTGTAAACATATAAATAAAACTTTCTCCCATATTTACCTGTGTAATTTTCAGCCTGCAGATGCATGTCACATAACTTGTGTATATAGCGGATATACATTTCCTCTTTATTAATTTCAGATTTATAAAAATTCTGAAAAATAAATATTTCAAAAAATAATCTCTGAAAATCTGTTGATCAAAATATTTTCAAGATTTATGTATTTTTTCATTGAGTTTATTTAGAATGTTAAATCATGTTTCAGTTTCATGAAATATACCATGAAGAAACTGAAAACAGACATCCTCTTCTACACCCACTCTCTTCTATAACCATCCTTCCAGTACAGAAAACTTTTAGTATTGAATGGACTGTATTTACAAATTAGGATTATTTGAAATACAAATTAGTTCTTGAAGATTCAATGATCTACTAATACAGGTAACTAAGCTCAAAACAAATAATGGCCCTGATATTATTTCTTTAATAGTTCCTCCTTAAGAAATGTACTTAAAGGTTGAAAATAGTGTCATTCTATTTTTATTTAAATCAGGAGAAATAAAAATGTATATTGATTTTAGGGGATTTTTCTTCTTCTTTCTTCCATTTAATCCATTGGAGAGTGCTTGTATAAGTCCATCTCGTTTTCTTGACACAGTTTTTCTGAAGCGGGTTGTCATTGCCTCCAGGGCTCAGAAAAAATGGCTAATCCAAGATCATCCAGCTGGCTTTGTGTCCAAGGCAGGATTAGAACTCACAGTATTCCAGTTTCTAGCCTGATTCCTCAATCGCTGTATTTTTTTTAAAAAAAAACACTTTTCACCTCTATGGAGGATACATGTCTTCCTCAGCTTTGTATCTCCTACCAGGAACCTGGGAGTTTGAGTATTCTGTGCAGTATCTTAGCTGTTCCTAGCACTGACTCTTCTGGACAGAGAGCTCTGATATTCCTGGGAATTGTTGGGAGCCGCTCCCGCAGCTTAGGAATCACAGCCCTGACTGTTCCTCCCACCACTGGCACCACTTTAGCCTTTACTTTCCACATCCTCTCTAGTTCTCATCTTCCTTCTTCCTGATTCTGCTTTTATTTGGCTTTGCTACATCAATCACTACCACTGACTTCTGATCTTTATCTTTTATCATGTAATCCACTTGACTGGCCAATACCTGCCTCTCCATCTGGATCTGGAAGTCCCACAAGATCTCAGCTCTGTTAGTCTCCACAACCTACTATGGAACCTCCCATCTGGACTTTGGAGATCTAGCCCATACACTCTGCAGAAGTTCCTATACACAATGCCAGTTACTTGGTTTAGTGTATGCTTCTGCCTGCCACTATGAGTTGGAATTTGAGGCGTTTCTTCCATCTGCCCTTGGTTCCTGTCTAGTGTGGAAAATCCCTGCTTTTATGGATCTGGTGTTTAGTGCCTGTTCTTATGTGGCTATAATTAGTCCCTTGATTTTGTCTTTTGTCTTTTAATCCAGCCCTTTCTAGACACTAGTAGAATTTCTCAAAGTCTGCCACCTCAACTATCTGTCAATGATGCATCTCAATGCAGGGTATTGTCTTTGCACAACACTTACACTGCTTGATCTTCCTTCCAGGTCTGCTGCTGCTTCAGACATTCCCTTATCGGCTCATTTTCAGTTGCCATCTTACTGATATATTACTAGATGCTCTGGTTTCATCCAGAACATTACTAATGAACCTAAGACTTAAATATTTTGAACACATAGTACAGAAACCCCCAATGTTTGGAACAATCAAAGACAATAAAAAGATGCCATCAAATATAAGGAGGATAAATGCTTTCATTGACACAAGTATGAGATTACAAGAATTAAAAGAAACAGTTTTTGATCCTGGTAAAATGATGTTTATAGTGTCACAAACATTATTCTCACCATCAAGTTAACAGTGCAACCAATTTTCTTGTTCTCTGTTTCATCTCCTTTCATACAGTCTCTGAAAAACAGAAAGTGCTGAAAGTTCAAAATTTTATTCCCTTATAGAATTAAAAACAATATAAAGAATTAATCCATAAAGGTATTTCCACATCGTTGACTATGTAGCTTTAGCAAGATTAGCAGTTTTATTTACTTCTTGATTCTATAAATGATCAATAAATCCCTTAAGAGTCTTAATTCTCTGGGGTTTTTTTTTTACTTTTCTTTTATAGCATTTATGTAATAATATATTGTGAAAATACAAGAAGTGACTACAGATTAAATCCTTAAAAACTGGAGTACAACTCATGATACTCAGAATGTACATATGCTGTTATAAGCATGAAAAAATCATTGGGAAAAACATTATGTCCTTAGTTACTACTAACATTACTTGCATATGTATCAGAGGTCTATGAACTGTGAATAACTGCATTACCTGTAGTCAAGGAGGCGCTCCATCAAACGAGTAACGGATGTAACAAACGAAACACCTGTCTCCCTCCAAGTTTCTTGTTCTACCTTTTCTAGCAGGCTGTATGAAAGTAAACAATCAGTAAGACTTACTCAGAAATACTATTGATTGTGAACAGTTTTGAGAACACTTAAAATACCTAAACACTTCCATATAAAATCTGAGCAATCATCTTACCTGGGATAAGGCCCAAACAGTTGGGTTCTGATCCACGTTGCATGAAGCAAAGACAAGGAAATTATTGAACTAAGATGATACACTGTTATTATTTCATACCAAGAAAATATTGTGCCTGGTCTAGAGATTGCATTTACACTACTCATGAATATATGTGGTTTATATATATTTGCAGAATACATACACATTATTTCCTTTACTGTAGAAATAACATATTGCTGAGAAAAAAGCAGGGGTCACAGTGTGAGATTGTTTTCATCAGGCTGATTTCCCTCCCCATCCCATGCTCAGTGATACTGTTGGTACTCAGGTTAGAAAGTGAGCATTAGTATTGTGATGATGTTATCCATTCAGTCGAGTCCAACTCTTGGTAGTATATCTATGGGCCTGGTCTCCCCACATCTTCTGATCTTGCACTTGCAGATCTTTGAGGATTTAATTACAAGTTATATGTCTTTTCTCCCTTAAAAGATACAAACTTCCTTTTCATAATATTCAATATTTTAAAGAATGGAGCAATTGAAAGTGCATGGGAGTATAGTTCAATTCACTGCTTCTAGTATAATATTTTATTTTTCAGTAATGTAAGTTGTTTATCTATATATTGTGTGTGTACTTACATTGTGAAATAGTGGCTATGTAGTGGTTTTAACTACAAGGAGAATCTGACCTGACATTTTCTGCAAGTAAGTACGGCTTTTAAAAAAAATCTGAGCTTTCAGAAGTGAACTCTTCAAATTTAATTAATTTAATTCAGAGAATTATTAACATTTTATATATTAATTATTAGGTTTGTAGGATCTATGACACTAATATTAAACCACTGTTGAAATTTAATATTTTTACATTAATTTAAATTTTTTAGTATTTAATCGTATAAAGACATCTCAGTTAAATTCTAAACCATGTGAAAAACAGATTCCCTTGTATGGTCTACTGACAAGCTCTGAATGACCAGGAAAGAATTTAGGTTATCAAAGCAATATAACGAATATTTCAGTTAGTGCTTTAATTCATGCCTTAATTTTGGAACAATGCCAGTTTCTTTTCAGAATTCATGGTATGCTTATTTTCAAAATTAATAAAAACAGAGCTCTTTTGGTTATACAGAGCTGTTTGCCTAACCTCATTTTGTACTTTCATTGAAACTCCAATCAACATCTGTGCAATCTTAATGAAGGTCATGTATTTCACAAATAATTTAGTAAATTGTCCTTAAACATAGGCTGAAAGTTCATATTTAGAGATATCCTGTTGAAGATAATGATTACATGAAGATACTCAATATACACTCCTTGAGACACTGAAGGGATAATTATTAGGGAACAGTAGGCAAGACTTCTTCCCTACTCCTGTATTCATTCTGTCAAAACATTGGGACATCTCCAATTGCAAAATGTTAACTCAAAACAGAAAGTTAAGAAAAAGACAGAAATCCAAACATTCTTCTGGAAAAAAGCATTCAAAAGAGATGCAAAAAGCTATAAATGAATCGAATTTATCAGTTATTTCAGATGATTATAATCATGAATTGATCTTTCATGTTAATATAACATGAAGATTAATAACAAATCTTGATTTCTGCAATTATTAAATAAAATGGATTTGCTGCTTTATATTAAAATCTATTTTTATCAAACCATTTATTCTGATGCATTATTCATTTCTAAGAATAGTTTTTATGTTTAGATCATCCAATCTCTTTATATAGACATGTACAGTTTTAATAATGCTAAACAAGACTTACAGCAGACTGAAGAGTTCCCTGTAATTTTCATCTCCTTTTCCCTCTGATACCAAACTGTCTAGCTTATCAATCAATTCTGCCTCCACCTGGATCAAAAAGAAAGAATTTGTAAGAGCAGCTTAGTTTGTAAATCCTAAATATAAAGAAGGATGTGAAAATGATATTTCATGATATTTCTCCTACTCTGCATGAAGATTATTTTTATGGAGATACAGATGATTTCTGTTTCTTAACATAGAGTAATGAAAGTAGCAAAATGTAATTTCACAAAATGGTAAGTTTATGAAAAACAATATGCCTCATTTGTTTGAGGCATATTAAGGTTGTTGTCACAACTTTTTTGACTGGACATCTAATAAAATGGCTTTTTTTTCATTTTCAAAATATAATACCACTACTCATTCTCTTATATAGTTATGCATTTAGTGTAGAATAAACAAATCAGTGTATTATTTAAAATGTAAAGCAAGACCATAATCCAAGACTGTTACTTGCTAATTAAAGTTGATCAAAAAATAATTAGATCTTAATAATAATTCATTAGCTATGTAATTGCAATTCCAATACTTTTTTTTAATATTAGTGTATTTATACAGTTAAATCTTCTCTGGACTTTTCTAAAAATTCATTTTCTTCCACATATATTCCACAGGTATTATGAATCTACTGAGAATCTAGTGATTAAATAAAACTCATTTTTTTAAAATAAATATGGCGTTCTGTTAACAGACAATTTACAAGTAAAAAGGAGCTGTTTTTGTTGCACAGATATTTACCGGACATTAATAGCATTATAAGATTGTCAAACATACCATTCCTCAATATCTTTCATTGCTTTAAACAGCTCACCAATATTTTTTGCCATTTTCCTTATTTCATTGCTTTTCCAATAATACAAGTTGCTTGTATATTATAATATTTTTTTAAAAGGAGATTTTGTTGCCCTCAGTTGGATAGCCTTGTTTTTCTCTAGTACAAGGAGATGATTCATGTCTTGTGTATAAGACATGGTGGATGGCTAGAAAAATTCTGCTACTTTCCTTATTATACTTTATTTTATACTGCACTGGAGTTCTTATAACAAACCTGTAGATGTAACAGCATTAGTCATGGCTTGGAATGTGTTATACTTTTACTTTTATATAGTTCTTAAAATCAAATAGCTCTAAGATTTGAAAAAAAAAAGTTACATATTTGCAAAAGACTATAACAAGACAGACTGCGTAAGTTCTCTAAGTAACCATCAGCAATATTTGTGTAGATATGATCTATGGGCTATACACAGATGCAATATTTTTAAGAGAAAGAATTTTTAGAAGAATGTATATCATAGCCAAACTCAGTGGCTAAGACACTGAGCTTGTTGATCAGAAAGGTCGGCAATCCCTAGTACAGGTCTCCTGTGTGAGCAGGGGTTGGACTATATGACCTCCAAGGTCTCTTCCAACTCTGTTACTGTTTACTTTTCTGTGATCAACAATTAGTTTAGCTGACCATGGGAATGTGATTGATATTGTATACTTTAACTCAGGGGTGGGTTGCTAATCCCGTTCCAACCGGTTTGGTTGGAACGGGGCCAGTGGCGTCCTCGTGCACGCGGCAGTTCATGCATGCGTCTTAGCGCCTGCGCGATGCTCCAGCTGCTTGCGGAGACTCGTGCAGGCACTGTATGTGCCATCCAGCTGCTCGCGGAGAATCGCGCAGGCGCTGTATGTGCCATGCGCCTGCGTGGAAGCGCAGAAGCCTTCAAAGACCGGTAAGGAGCGCGGGCGGGCCCTTCGCCATTCCCAGAAGTTACTTACTTCCGGATTCGCCGACCAACCGGTTCGTGGGGACCGCCGCGAACCAGTTGAAACCCACCCCTGCTTTAACTTCAGCAAAGCATTCATAAGATTCCAACAATATATTGGTAGAGAAAAGGACAAAATATGGGCTGTATAATACTATTATTAGTATAGTAGACTGAACAATCATATCTATTAGGTATATGTCAATTGCTCAACATCAAATTGGACAGGTTGACTAGTACATCAGAGTTCTATTTTAAGCCCTATGCTGTTGAATAGATGTATAAATGACTTAAAAAAGAAAATTAAAAAACAAGGTTATAAAATATGGTTAGTTGATATAAAAATAGCAGGGATAGCACATATCTTAGAGAACAATGTTAACATTCAAGAAGACTTTAATAAGGTAGAACAATGATCTAGAAACATCAAGATCAATTTCGATGAAATTAAAACAAAAAATTAAAAAAAACAATCTTGGTGGAAACAATTGAAAAATCCTATATTTGGATAGAATAAATCAAACATTTGGGTGGGGGAACCTTCCTGAATAACAGGCAAAAATAATCAGGTGTCCTGGTTAATCAAAAATTAAACATGAACCAGCACTATGATGCAACTGTAAAAAAGCAAATGCAATCCTATACAAAAATAGAATATAAGATCAGAGAAACAATTGTTCCTCCCTATTCAGTGTTGGTCACATCACATTTGGAAAATTGCCTTCAGTTCTTGGCATCAGATTTTAAGAAAGAATTGGCAAACTGGAACATGTCTTGAAGACAACGACCAACATGATATGAGATAGTTGGATGCATTGGACATGTTTAAACTGGAGAACAAACTACTGTGTGGAAACATAATAGTGACCTTCACAAATTTGAAGAATTGTCATATAGAAAAAGGAACAATTGTTCAGAGTTGTTCTATCAGCCAAGCCAAGAAATCATGGATTTAAATCATAAAGAAATATATTTCACTTGAACATTAGGAAATATTTCTTAATGCTATTAGTTTTTAACTATTGACTGTCTTGTGAAATGGTGGACATTCTATCTAAGGTGATATTTAAAATTAAATTGAAAATTGAAAAGATAGTTAAAATGTAGACGTTTACAATATAAGTTTATATTATGCAAAATGTGATCTGTTTTCCACCCAAGTCCTAAAACTAAAGAAAATGCAATTAAACAAATGAATCAAAAACATTACACTTGCTCATTATTTGCTCATTATTAAGGAGAATGACCAAAGCTGCATTTTTGTATATAGCAAATTGTGTGAATCTCTGCTTTCAGTAACTGGTATGCACTGATGGTCACCAATAACTGCAACTATGGTTTTCTGATAATTGTTGACCAACCCTGTGCATCAGCATGGACTAATTTTAGCCTATTCCTCCTTTAAAAAAATAACTTCAACTCAGGGATGTTGGTGGGTGTTTTAGCTTGAAAAATTAATTGGGTAGTTATAGAATTGGCTTATAATAATTATAGGCAATATAAAAAATTAAGGTTGTAAACGCACAGTATTTTACTGTGTTAGAAAGAGTAAGAAGTCAACTCTTCCTTTCTCCCTTTTTTTTAAAAAAATATTCATTTTCATTGTATTTTAGGCTATAATAAACTTTAATAAAAACTAGCATTTATAAAAAAGAATATTGGCTATTCATTCTTGTTTTTGGGAGGCAAAGAAAACAACAGGTCAGATGCTGAACGGGCAGATGAATTTACCGAAAGAAAACACCAGATGATTGGCTGGTGAGCTAAGATAGGGTACTGACCATCACCCAGGACTGTGGAAATGGCGGCTACCTGTTGCCTTAGGGTGTTGTGTGCTAAGCCTTGTTCCAAGCCATCCAGGACCTGCAGTGGGAATGCCTGTACGGGGTCAATGATCTTTGCCCTGCACCACCTAGCAAATGCCGACCAGATCGCATTGTAGATGCGTGTTGTCGAGGGTCTCCTGGATGCCTCGATGTCCCAATTACCCTGTCTGAGATGTTGGCCGCCATCAGGATCTGCCTTTCAAGTGCCAGGCGGTCAGCTGGAGCCACTGGGCTCCGGGTGAAGCAAGATCCCCCTGCACAAGATGATCTGATCCCAAGGAATCTCCATAGGGGGAACACTGACAGGCGGACAAGGTCTGCAAACCATGCCCTCCTGGGTCAGTGTGGAGCTACTAGTACTATCTCTGCCCCCTCTGTCTCTAGTTTCCTGATCACCCCTGGGAGGAGAGGGAGGGAAGGCGTAGAGAAGGCCTACCAGCCAGCAGCAACAAAGCATATCTACATCCTCTGCTCCATGTGACAGGAATCAGGAGACGAATCGCGGCAGCTGGGCATTCGCCGGCGTGGCAAAAAGGTTGACCGCTGGTGTCCCACAGTGATGGCAAATCTGCTGGAACAGCTTGGGTTGCAACTGCCACTCCCCATGGTCCATGGTAGCACTGCTTAGCCAGTCGGCCTGCAGGTTCACCATTCTCAAGATGTGCTCTGCTACAATCGATCCCAGGTGTCTCTCTGCCCATGTGCCTAGTCTCAGGGCCTCGACCCATAGGGACTTTGAGTGAGTGCCCCCCTTGCCAGTTTACATGGGCTTTTGCCGCCACGTTGTCCCTGAGCAGGAGCACGTGTTGGCCCTTGAGCCAGGTCTTGAAGTTGGGTAGTGCTAGGTGAGCCGCCTTGAGCTCTAACCAATTTATGTTGTGAAGGAGGTCGGCCTCCATCCACAGACCCTGCATTAGCTGGTTCTCTAGCACCGCTCCCCAACCATAAAGGCTGGCATCTGTGGTTAGTATTAGACGGGGCAGCTCGCAAATTGCAGATCCCAGACTTAGGGCTGGAGAAAGCTACCATTGTAGGGACAGAAGAACCTGCGGAGAAATGCGCATCAATGCCACTGATGCGCTGGTGCCCTGTCGCTGGAATGGAATCAGGGCCCATTGCAATGTTCTGGAGTGTAAGTGGGCCAGGCATGATCCCTATGCAGGAAATCATTTTTCCTAAAAGGTTGGATAACGTGAATACAGACACCGTCCGAGCCCGACATACCTGATGTATTAGTTGGACAAGGCTGTCCCAGCAATCCGTTGATAAGACTCGTCCCTGGACCGTGTTGATGACCGCTCCCAGGTGCTGAAATCTTGTGACAGGTTGTAGGTGGCTTTTTTGAAAGTTCACCGAGACCCCCGAGTTTGCAATGACTATATTGTCAGCTGCAGGTCGTGTCATGCCCGGGCCGCAATTGATGCTTGGACAAGGATGTCGTCAAGATAGCACTGGATTCTTACTGGAACTG